CATACAGACATACATACATAAAGACAGAAAGACAGATAGACAGACAGACAGACAAACATTTCATTTCAATTAAATAAGATACTCTTAAGAAACTCTCATGTTTGAACTTTTAAGTTAGTGATAAACAGAAAGATACAGTTCTCAATAAATAAAATTGTATCATAGTTTGGAGACTTTTCTGTTGAAAATGTGTCAGGGTTATATCGTATACATATACATGCACAGTGCGTTAACTGGAGTGCGGGTATTAGTTACCCGCACTCCAGAGCATGCCCATTGATTGGCTCATTTTTGCTGGGGTTTACATATTGTGACGGCAGAGAAAAAGGGAAAGCGACAGAAATATCATATATTTAGATGTTCGTTCATTGGTTCATTTTTTGCCGCGGGTTTCATATTGTGACAACAGGGAACGTGTTTTTATGGTTTGACTATGATACAAAAGAGAAAGAACACCAAAAACACTCGGTAATCCTGATAAATTTACTCGGGGCTACGCCCCCTCGATAAATCACCCCCCCCCCCCCCCCCCCCCCCCCCCCCCCCCCCCCCCCCCTCCCCCCCCCCCCCCCCCCCCCCCCCCCCCCCTCCAGATAAAACCTCGTGTTATCTTGCTTCTTTCTATTACTTATTTTGTCATTTTATATACAATGTTGTAAATGTACTCTTTCAATTGATAAGTCATTTACACAATCACATACTAAAATTAGAGACACAATCGGTGCATTAATACAAGGCTTTTTAACGCCGTGACTGTCTTATGCTATCAATGTTTTTGCTATCTTCTGAAATGATGATATTATTTTGTCATTTAAGCATATAAACATGTGCAATTTACATCATGATCTTGTCTAAAGACAATGCTGACTTGTTCAAACAGCATGTTAACTTGTCAAATAATCATTATGACATGTGCAGACAACATGTTAACTTGTCAACAGTATCATGGATGACTTGTGCAAACGACATGTTAACTTGTCAAAAATACCATAATGACTTGTGCAAACGGACATGTTAACTTGTCAATATTTCATGATGACATGTGCAAAACAGCATGTTAACTTGTCGAATTATCGTGATGACATGCTTCATAATACCTTAACAAGTTAACATGTGTTTTGCACAAGTCATTACGATCTTTGACAAATTAACATGTTGTCCTGCAACAAGTCATCATGATACATTGACAAGTTAACATGGCATTTGCACAATTCATCATGATACATTGACAAGTTAGAATGTACAGTTTGCACAAGTCATTCACGATACTTTGACAAGTAACTGCTGTTTTGCACATGTCATCATTGAAATTTGGACAAGTTAACATGTTGCTTTTCACAAGTCATCATGATACTAGGACAAGTTAGCATGTTGTTTGCACATGTTATCACGATGATCTGACAAGTTAACATACTGTTTGCACATGTCATCAATTGAAATTTTGACAAGTTAGCATGGCATTTGCACAAGTCATCATTATACTTGGACAAGTTAACATGTCGTTTGCACAAAGTCATCATGATACTTTTGGACAAGTTAACATGCTGTATGCACATGTCATAACGATAATTCGACAAGTTAACATCTGTTTAACATTGTTCATCATTGAATTTTGACATGTTAGCATGGTTACTTTGCACCCAAGTCAGCATTTGATTACTTTGACAAGTTAACAGGTGCTTTTTTGACATTGTCAGCATGATACAAGCGATAAACATGTCATTTGCACAAGTTAATCACATTCTTTGACAAGTTCACATTTGTCCCTTCACAAAGTCATCATGGTTATTTGAACATGTTAACATTGCTGTTTTGGCACAAGTCATCATTATACTTTTGACAAGTTAACATGCTGTTTTGCACATGTTCATCACGATAGTTCGGGACAAGTTAACATGTTCTAAATTCACAAGTCATCATTATATCCTTTTGAACAAGTGTTAACATGGCGTTTGCACAAGTCATCATGACATTTTGACAAGTTAACATCTGTTTTGCACATGTTTCAGCACAATAATTTGACAAGTTTCCACATGACGTTTGCACAAGTCATCATTAACATTTTGACAAAGTTACCATTGTCATTTGCACAAGTTTCAATTATTATAACTTTTGACAAGTTAACATGTTGTTTTGCACAAGGGATCACGATAAATTTGACAAGATAGGGATGTTTTCCCCGGGACATGTTTATCAAATAGTTTGACAAGTTAAAAATCGTTTTTAAAAAGTTTTAAACAAAGGGTTCAAATTTACCCCAAGAATGATGAAAAATTGAAAAATTATTAAAAAATGCCTTAAAACGAAAAAAAATAATTTTTCAAAACGTTTCCACAAAAGATAACAAAAAAAATTGAAAATTTCCCTAAACAGTTTTACGGCGTTCCATAGCTTTTTATGTAACACTACAGCTGTGAATGTAATATGGCGAATGATTTAAAAAGTCCGACAGTAGGTGTTTTAGCGGTATTTTTGGATAAACATCCGCCATTCGTTTGTTTGTTTTGTTGTTGTTGTTTTTTCGTATAAACATGTATATTCGCCCAATTTTTCACGTGCGGCAGTGATGTCAATTGACAAATATTTTGATAATGAACTTATCGGGTCTGTCATTGAGTCAATTATTTTTCATGACCCCTTTTATTTAAAAAAAAAACAACGGCGCGAGCTTACCTCATTTTATCGTTATCTGCGTGCGCAGTGCAAGAATTATTAAGACACAAAAATTGTTGTGTTTAAGATAAATTTTCTTCAGTAATAAGTTGTTTTAATAAGTTTAAAGTTTTTTACTTCAATAGCAAGAATGAGAACTAAGCAAACGACAAAATGTTAATGTTTAGGTAATATTACCTAGAAATATTTACTCTAGTTAATGGATTTACTCAATAACATCTCAATCATTTGTATTCGTTTGTTAAAATAATGTTATAATGGATTTTTTTTGTTTTGGATTTTGGTCTTGTCAATTTATCTTCCGTTAATGAAAGGGTATAAGTCGTTATTTGTCTAATGGAAAGAGTTTTTTATCCTATAAATGGTGACCTTTTCGTTTTAAAGTGTTTTTTTTATGTTTATGGCAATTTTCTTTGCCTTTTACTGGTACAATTTGTTTCAAACATATTTAGACACACATCTTTGCTTATACTACATCAACAGAATGGTTGCTTTTTGTAGTCAAATGGTAACTGCTTTCAAATCCGGATCGTTAACTTCAATAACATTTCAAAAGTTCATAGTATTCTAGATAAGAATTTAAAGCAAGGTCCCGATAAATGGTTATTTAAGAATATGAACTCACCTGTTTGTTTTAGAAATTGAAAGCGTTACCGCATTTCCCATTTGAAGCAGGAGAATGCTAAATCTCTCCCGGATGACTCACCCGTCATCTTAAGAGTTTCAAATGACAATGTATATTGCTGTATGTATATTTTACCGTATTCAATGCTATTACATCTACTATATTGATATACAGTTTCTGATGACATATATAATGGTTCGTTATTATTATTATTGAGTAATCATGTGAGAGCATTGCTTACAACATACAATGGATAATATAGTAATTTCATCGATGTTTCCTGCTGTTATTGTCAGCGGATCTGACATTCACAATGAGCAAGTGTGATACTAGTATTGCGAAGATCAATGTTAGGTTCAATCAATCGTAAATTCACTTATTACATAGGAAAAAATCGGGGCTTTTTCAATTGAATAATCAGTTTTGTACCCAATATTTGCATTGGTTACTTGGTAGTAAGATAAATTGTTTGAACTTGTCATGAACCAAGCTTCACTGTGAATTATTCAATTGCCAAATTATTATAGCGTGAATCATTTAATTGTCAAAGTAGGATTTTATTAATCCAGCTTTATCGTGAATTAATTATTCAGTTACCAAATTATAATATATGTATACATAAACCCAGCTTCATTTTGAATTATATGGTGATCAAACACATTAATTCGTTTTGTTAAGATTTTTTATTTCATACAACCATTTAAGGAACAAACTTGTAAAAATATTACATAACGTAAGTCGCTTGTTAAAATTGCATACTTAATTTCCGTGAATACAGCAAACAAACTAACATCACAGTGTACTGTTTCACGCAATAGAAATTCAATATGTATTCATCGTTTTTAAACAGACATGACGGCAGCTTTACCCAGTTGAATATTTTGATTAAGTTTCCGTTTTTGGTCATTTACCTAAACTAACGTTAACAACGCTGTGATATTAAAAACTAAATATCTGGATTCTCAATGATGATGTCTACATGTCGTAACTTTTCCAGGTCATGGTCTTTGGTACCTGTAATACTACAAAATGTAAAGTATGTCATTCAGTCAAAGATTATCGTACCGTCTAACACTGAACAATATGGAGGGCGCCGTTCCCCGGACGTTCTACAGCTCTTGACTTTTAAACTGCAGAACAAAATATATGTAAAAATCGCAAACTCGATTTAATTGAGACTGTTTGGAGAGAAAATGTACAAACAATAGAAAGTGCAACATCTCTCACATTTCCGACCATTGGCCGCCTAAGCGCAGCTGTTGCGTTAAAGCAACAAGTTCATTAACCTGATCCTATTATGATTAAATTGATAATTTTCTAGTATTGCTGATTCTAAGTTTGCAATGACATGCTGATCTAATCTGATTCCGTCGTGGAAATGTTATGATATATTTATGTTTGTGTTGATCATTATATGTGGAATGAGTATAAATTGTACATGGCGTAGAGTAATAACTGTGACAAAACCGAGTCGTTGAGCATTCAATCTGATTTGTGATAGTGCCAACAATAAACTTAAATTTCACCCGCTCATGATGTATTTATTAAACGGGTTGATAGGACCATATATTATATACAAATGCAGTGATTTCTAGCGATTGTAACTCGAATATGTTTTAACATGCAAATTATAGATTTTATATGCGGTAATATGTTTGTTTCTTTGTCTGGTACTCATTGTTATTCTATTTCATTATTTCAGGATTATGACAGGACGGTGAGTCATGCTGTGTCCCCATATATAACTCTGAGTATTTTAGTGGCTGGGGTTGTTGGTGGCCTTGTCATTGTCATAGCCTTCATACTCTTCTGTAAATATTGCGTCAAGAAACAAAACACCATTAGAAGGTATTTAATACATCATTATTATAGTTACGTCAGCATTCGCTTTTACTTATATATAATATAATGATTTGCTTCCTTTTGTGACTACGACAGCAAGGCTAAAAGGGGCGTGGTATTTGACTTCAAACCACTTACCCCTCACCGCTGTTGGTTCTAATCCCGCCAGAGACTTTGGTTTCTTTCATGTGAGGAAACTATCTAGCTAGCATACGGAAGGTTGATTGTTCTACTCAGGTGCCCGTTTGTGCCTGAAATATTGAGTGGCACATGAGGTCTTCCTACTCCTGTAAAGCTGGAAAGTCGCCATATGACATCTACCATATGACATCTACTTTGTTAGTGCGACATGAAACCCAACCAGTAAACAAAATATTTCTGACTGGCACATATCTACAGCATTAACTGAAATCTAATTATGGTCTTCTATATCCCACATCAAATTAAGGAAACGCGGTTATGCTAGACAAATGTATAGAATAATATTTTTCGTCTTCTTTAAGTCTATATATGTATCAAAAGTCGCATTATAATCACGTGACGAATATAAAAATCTTTGACATTAAAGGGACCAGGGTACAGACTGTGAGAGATCCTCAGATCGCCGATTTAAACCATTTCAAAGGTATGAGACGATTAATTCTGACATGTTCTCAGAGCCTAGCACCGGTTCTATGGACGGCATACCTATCAGTCCGAGACGGTTTCTGGAAACAAAGTAAGTTTTCTAATCTGCACGGACAGTTATAATTTCTTTCAATAAAATGTTCTGGTTACATCAGGGGCTAAAGGTTTATATGTGCTACTCTTGTTACATTTATTACTTTGTTTTCTGTAAGATCTCCTGGAGTATTTTCAGTGATATCGTGTAAGATTGACTGCTCTTGATCTGATATTTAAAGTACACTTAAATAGAACATTTGCAAATAATAAATACAAATTAAAGTTATTTATATCCGTTAAAGTGTTGAAAACTGTTTATGTAATACATTGTTAAGTAATTAAACACAGAGAGACTACAATAAATGAAGTTAAAATTCAATATGATAGAATGTATGGGCCCAACATTCTCTCAATAAACTTTTATTTAATCCTTATTTCCAACATTTCAAGAGTAAATTTAATAAAAGAGAAATTATTCACTTACCACGGGTTAAAATAACGCATTAAACTTTTCTGTGCCCGATTACAAGCATGCGGGACATACATTATCTTCTTTGATGAAATGACAGGTCAATATTCAGATATCAAATATGTTTGATTCAAATTCAAGTTAAATGTCATTATTTTATTATTATTGATTGAATATTCCAAAAAATCTTAAGCGCATGCGAAGTAAGTAAAGGCCTCAACAGACGGTAGGATTTTGAAGTACATAAGATGTACAGACAAATCTTAATGTGTGAAGGATTCGGAAACCATTAGTCTAGATGTAAGGGATAGGACATGTTCTAATTTGAAAATCTTGTCGTACAGATTTCTACAGACCTCCCACAATGACAAGTAACAGATTACCAAATTATCTCCTGATAATGGGTGTAATGAATGAAATTCCAGAACAATTAGGGCTAAAAAGTAAACATAGAAGTAAGATGGGGTAAAAATGATGTTGAAAAACTCTTCAGGAGACCCAAAGTTGTGTTATGTCCGAATCCAAAATTGTTCCGAAAATGATTATGTCACGGCGTTGAACTGTTCTCTAATCAGGGGAGGTAGTTTGTAGGCGGCCGGATAGATCAGTCAGTAGAACCGCAGTACGGTATTTCGAGGGTCCCAGGTTTGAGTCTAAAATTTAACAATTTTTTTTTTAAAAAAATGGAGGTGTTTCAATCATTACTCATGGAGATAAAACAATCTTTTGTGAGTAAATAATGTAAGGGATCAATGGGAGGTAACTGTTTTAGGGAAACCTCCCATGCTTCCTACAATGCAGAATTACGTCTGAATGCAAGTGTTGTATTGCTTTGAAAATTGTACATCTTATCTCTTATTAGTGTTGTACGACTAAATCCCACCGTCTGTTGAGGCCTCAAGTGTCATGACATGTGTATATATTCTTGATAACAAGATTGTACCTGTTTTCTATATATTATACAGATTAAATGCCATTGTCCGTATTCCATTGTTAAAGCGGATTAGATTACAATGGGCACATTATCCATTAAAATTTAAAATATTGATGAAAACATTAGAAGTGTACCATTTAGATATTCTTATAATATATTGCTTGAAAACAAAAATTTTTAAAGATCTAATTTATTTAGTATGAACATTTATATGAACATTTGAGCCGCGTCATGACAAAACCAACGTAATGCGTTTGCGACCAGCATGGATCCAGACCAGCCTGTGCATCCGCGCAGTCTGATCAGGATCCATGCTGTTCGCTTGCCAACTCTATTACAAGTGGAGAAACTGACAGCGAACAGCATGGATCCTGATCAGACTGCGCGGATGCGCAGACTGGTCTGGATCCATGCTGGTCTCAAACCCATTACTTTGGTTTTGTCATGACGCGGCTCATTTTATTATCTGCTATACAATCATATGTAATATCGGGTTATGTATGTCGCACTTGCCATACATTGTATATTTTTTGCGATTTGTTGTTACGTCTTATACTAAATACTATTTTACTTATTTTTACAATTTATTTATTTATTAATTGCTTTTTAGACCTTCCATTATAGATCAACTCATTTTATATAATATTTATCAGTCAGTGCATTGTGGTAATATATGTTATAATTAAGGCATATGGGGACAAGTGGCGGAGGTGATTGTCATTTCTCTTTAACCCCATACAGTGTCCAGTTCAACAAAAAATTAAAAAAACAAGTACTTATATAATCTATATGTAGATTGCAAACCCTGTGTAATGGCAATGCAGTACAACCTTGTAACTGCTCCCTTACACCCGTGTGTACCAGGAGGCCATCTCCAACAAAATTGATTAACTTATTTACGTTTACAGCATATATACCAGACAGATAATGTCATTTAAGATCATTTACCGGAAGTATGAGACGCCATTATAGAGACTGTAAGTTATTTCTTTATTCACTAGTATTGCCATGAGACCTGTACACATGAAACCTTGGAAATTACATTTGCATATTGTATTTCTCTTTCGGCAGAAGTCTGGAGAAGATTCCAGGTATAGATGAAGCAAACGAAACAACGAGGCTTAAATCAGACTTCGAAAAAAGTAAGTAATTTACAGTTGATTTTATATGTTTAATGGTATTTCTTTTTCTTAAACATATCAAATGTCGTCTGACGTATTTATGACATTTTTCGAAATTGAACAAATTGCTTTTCAGCAGCCAAAAAGCAAGTATTATAATTTTGCAATGTTTATTCATTCATTCAAATTCTCAGTTTCATATTGTTTTAAACGGTAAATGATTTTTTTTTTCATTGAAAATTCTATTTCTTGCAATAGACCGAGAAAAATAAATTAAGTGCATAAATAATTAAGACTGTAGATGAAAATTCTGTAAACATTAAACGAATGCAAGTAGTTTGCATCCTTTAGATATCTTAGTTGTGATCTGATATAATGTCTAATTAGATGCGCATTTCTATTTTGAAAACTCAATATAGCTCAAAATAAATATATAACTTCTCATTTTATAATTTTGCGTAAGGAAAACGTTGCGGTAACGATTCACGCCAACTGATACAGCTATATCTAAAACTTTAAGGTGACTAAGGTCATGTTTTAAAAATATTAAACAATTCTACATGTATTTTCTTAGAAATTATTAGGACAACGCAAAGTGATGTTGTTACCATGTTTGTTTGAAATAAATGTAAGTTACATGTGAAGGTTTTTTTTTTCCATTGAAATTGATTGTAGAGAAAACGTAAATTGCCTTGTTTTATAGATAAAAGCACACCACCAAGTTATATATATTAGATCTTAGATGTTTACGCACAGAATTTCAGTGTTTAAATCACGTGATGTTTCAAAAGAAACAATTATCTGTTCCAATCTTATCAGTTTAGCCTCGTTTTCAATTTCAGAGTCTAAAATTTCTGTATCAAACGCAAATCATACTCCATCTAGTCTCATTTTCATTTTCAGGGTAAAAGAATAAAATAATTTCTTTATTGTTCTTGAAGTAACAAAGTTCTGTCAAAAAGTGAAAAACATGAAATAAAGTCTCCCGTACACAGCTGTAAAACCTATATCAGACACGGCTAGCGTGCCTCGTCCAATATAGGTTTAACAGCTGTTTAATTCAGTATTGTACTCGACAATGTTTAATAACCTAATAATATATTACAATGTTAATTTCTCTAAATCGCCATGTCATGAAAATTTTTAATTTGTTATGCGCCAAACTTTGTATTTTTGTAAAATCTGATTATTTCTTAATTTTTATTTTTTTGAAGTATTAAAGCTATAACTTAGATATAAAAATACACCATCTTGCATTAAATGTACAAAGATTTGTCTGCTGGTAATTGTAGTTTACCCTCTCTCACACATATCAACCAACATAAAGATATCAAAGACATCATAACTAAACTTGATATGAGCCTCGTCATGACAAAATCAACATATTACAAACCCGATAACAAGTAGAGAAACTGATAGCGAACAGCATGGATCCTGATCAGACTGCGCGGATGCGCAGGCTGGTCTGGATCCATATTGGTCGCAAACCCATTATGTTGGTTTTGTCATGACACGGCTCATATATTAGATAAGACAAATGACGGTAGCAAAGGCCACATACCACAAGTAATCAAATAATCTGCCCTTGTCATTAATGAAGTATACAAATTAGGCTCCATGCGTCATTGAAAGGTTTCCTACATGATGATTAACGTCATTATGGGTTTTCATTCCTTTAGCACCAAATAGTCTGGAAAATGTCTCCTTTATTTAATGAAGTAGATGTTGGTAATCACGAATTTACCTATGTTATTAGCAAAATAAGGTTATTTCATTTATTGTCCTTCAATGAAATCATGCTGCATATATCTGAAACAAGTATAAATATTTCATGCCACATTTGTATGACTAGTATGAAAACTGTATATGTTATAGTATGATAACTGTATGAATACTAATATGATAACTGCATATGTACAAGCATGATAACTGCATATGTACTGATATGATAACTGTATATGTACCAGTATGATAACTGTATATGTACCAGTATGATTACTGTATATGTACTAGTATGATAACTGTATATGTACTAGTATGATAACTGTATATGTACTAGTATGATAACTCTATATGTATAAGTATGATAACTCTATATGTATAAGTATGATAACTGTATAAAAGTTTATGTACTATGTACTATTTTATTATCACTGTGTATGTACCAGTATGATAAAACTGTATATGTACTAGTATGATAACTGTATATGTACTAGTATGATAACTCTATATGTATAAGTATGATAACTGTATAAAAGTTTATGTACTATGTACTATTTTATTATCACTGTGTATGTACCAGTATGATAAAACTGTATATGTACTAGTATGATAAATGTATATGTACTAGTATGATAACTCTATATGTAGCAGTATGATAATTGTATATGTACTGGTATGATAACTGTGTATGTACTGGTATGATAACTGTATATGTTCTAGTATGATAAATTTATATGTATAAGTATGATAAATGTATATGTACTTTTTTATTATCACTGTGTATGTACCAGTATGATAACTGTATATGTACCAGCATGATAACTGTATATGTATTAGTATGATAACTGATTATTTACTATAGGTTACCTTAATTAAAGAACGCCCAAATAGGCAAAAATGAAAATAGTGCAAGCCTAGTTCGATTAACCATACTCATTTTTTGTGTATTTTTTTGTTTGAGTACTATGCTGAGAATTTTGAATAATTATATTTTAGCATCATTTTGCGAAACTAATCTTGATTTGGAACCATACATCGATGAAGAATATACAGAAGCAGACGACAATAAAGAAAATGATAATAGTAGGAAAGAAGTTCCAGAAGAAAATGAAAGTTCAGGGAGGCGAGTATCATTCCAACTCGACAATCTACCGTCGACGCCGTCGGGATATTTACGAAAAGGGAGAAGGTTGGGAAAACTGCTGAACGTGTTTCCCGCTGTTCCGCATCCCTTCATTTTACTAGATGTTCAAACTTTATATTGTTTGGTAGCCTTTCCAGCTTTTTGTGACATGAATTGAGATCCAACCTACTCATTTTTTTTCTTCAAATTTATGAGAATGATTTTTAACAAATTTGTCTTATGCGCATATTAAGTAATAGCATGTATTACTTTGATATTTTTTTTACTGAATTCACTTTTCTATTTTCGTATTTTAAAACGTGTTTTTTTTTCTAAATTTTATCGTCAATTCTACAGAGTGTGATTTTAAGCATAACTCATGTTTAATTATTTTAACTGTTTCTCTTCCTAGAAGATGTGGGCTAGACTTTGGTTGGTGGAGAGATTAAAATTTAATACACTTCAATTGTTTTATAAAATCTTGTTCATCCTTTCTTCTAATAATTCTGTTTTCTTATACCTTTTTGCAATTTACTTAACTTTTATGTTAAGCTTGATCTCGACATTCTCTCTATGGTTACTAAAATTCGTCTAAATATTCAGAAAATTAGATGTAAATTTTGTTAATTACAAAAGGCCTGTATAATAATTCTATAGAACTATTAAAATACACGCATATACATTTCATTATTCTAATTGGTTATTTCTTACAGATTGTTGACATAATAATCTGCTGCTTATTTAAAGCAAGATACATCGGAAAACAATTTTGATTTTAGTTTAAAAAAAAAACACTTGTAGGTATTATATCTATATTTGTTTCTTTTTTAATTTAAATGAGATACCAACAGCATGTATTCATTCTATTGTTATATGGTGCTGTTGAGGTTTGCCGTGCATGGTACTACTATTTAGCTCCTCCGGGTGCCTTTTCATATATATGGTAGTACCATTAGTAAACGGACCCAAATTAAACACGTCAAAAATAGATGCTATAAAACAATGACCTTCAGGGACTTTGAACTTGTCGCTCGGCTAGTACTGATTGTTTTATACCTCTTGGCCTTTCGTTATCATAAAAGCCTATACAAATATGAGAGAACTTCGTTTTTAACAACTTAAGGCACTTTGCTGTTGTTAGTCGTCATTTCAAGTTTCGCTAGGGAGATGTAGATCTTCTTCCGGTCACAAAATTATACATCAGAAAAAAATCGGCTATGTTTAGAATTTCTAAAGAAATGATTTTTTAAATAAGTTGAAATTGATACTAATATGTAAATATTTTATTTTCTAAAACAAATTAAACGGCGGGAAAACCCGTGGATCGTTGAGTTTTACTGGGTATTCTAGTTATCAACGTTCTATATAATCGACGTTTTCCAAATATTTTGAATGTGCTGTCAAGCGTGCGTTGTACTTAAACATTTTTGACCCAGTTCAAGATATAAACAAGCACAGCTATCATCATTCATCACATGTTTCCTGCAGACAAACAATATTGACACAGTCCAACAAAAAAAGCAATATGTACGGTAAATTAGTTTGCTTCAGACAAAACAAAAGTTGTTTTTTTTTAAATTCACAATTTAAACGCAATGCAGCAAACTTTAGTACGTCAATAATACTGTGTTACCATGCTAGGCTCCGTTTGCGATACATTTGAGTATACTTCAAGCAATACCCGGCACGATCATAACCTCAACAGCTTATGACGTCATGTTCCACTGATATAAGCGCGTGAGAAAAGCAGTATAAAGACTCAGTTTAAATGATTCCTTTCTAAAGAGATAATGTAAAGTGCTTCAGCATTTAATTAATGAAAAATCAGTGATCCATAAAGACTAAAGAACAAAACAACAAAGGGGTTAGGCAATTTTTTGCATCGGTCAGACAACAGTTAACACCTGATGTTGTAAGACATTACAATGACAAAAGCTACCTGCAAATAACTAAATACTTAAAAATAAATGCTAATTTTACAGTCATTCCATGACATTTATGTGAAACATTAACAATAGTAAAATCAATGTTCCCAAATGACTTTTGAGAAAAATGAACAAAAAGGTTTTTTTTCCAGAAAGGATGAGCAAGATTTTTTTTTGTGTTTTAACTTTATTTTAAGTTCATACTAAACTCACGCACGCGCACGTATGTTATGGAATTTGTTTCGCAAGAAATATTATTTAGAGGAATAATTGCATGTGTCAGCAGTTTTCAAACCTCCTTTATTTCCCTTTGTCGTTTTATATCTTCATTCATGATTACTTTAAATGCATCGTGATAATATGGTTTGAACAATTCCTTTTGCAAAATGAATGTGTTCTGGATATGTTTGTATAATATATGTACCATGAATATATGCATATATGTGACCCTGACAGTTCGTGTGTGTGTAGTGATATAATTCCTGTATATTATACCTTACATAAATGTGTTCCTTCTTTGTTTATATACGTATCAGCGGGTTATAAAATACGTAATATAATATGCGATCCGACAAACATATTCAAACATTTAGTTCTTCTTTGATTTTTTCACCATAATATATACATGTATTCTAGTAATATGCGGTATAATATAAGGAACAGCATACAGTACTTCAGATATCAAAGCATTATATAGTGTCTGATCGGTCAGCCCGGGAACTGACCGTAAAATGTTTGTGGGCTGACTGATCGGTCACCGTAAAATGTTTGTGGGCTGACTGATCGGTCACCGTAAAATGTTTGTGGGCTGACTGATCGGTCACCGTAAAATGTTTGTGGGCTGACTGATCGGTCACCGTAAAATGTTTGTGGGCTGACTGATCAGGTCACTATAATAATATAAGGCCCTCAGTGCTGTGTACTATTTTTTAACTATAGTGTTAATTAAGGGCTTTCATTAATGATGTTATATTTTTTCTAAAACAAGCACTTATTAAATTATTTCATCTCCAGTAACTTAATTTTACAGGAATTATTTGATTACTTTTATTATAGAAGAAATACACCTACGTCAGAACACAAATAAAAGTTCACTTGGTGTGCAGTAAAACGTTCATCTATATTAAATGTAATCTTTGCAAAATATGTTTTTAGAATATATATCAAACACTGCCTGCGATGAAAATAGCAGTTCTTATGCTTTCTATAAAAGCTGAGATATAATATTTTACATTTAAAATTAGCGTACAACATGTCGTATTGCCATGCAACATCATAAGATTGAAATTGAACTGGCATATTTAACCGATTAAAAATGTTTAAATATCTAAATATATTGCAGATACACTGAAGGTGACTTTCACTACTTGAAGAAAATACGCATTGCAAAAAATAATGTTCCAAGACAGTACTCATTAGGTGCACCGTTACAAAGAGAACGATATATTACGGAAGATACATACCTTGACTTGCATAATGAGAACCGATTTCCTAAGAACGATGTTTGTGTCAATTCTATATCATCTGGAGTAGAAGACTATTCAGTTGCGCATGCGCTAGTGCGGCCATATATGTTAGAATCACCTACTTCAGCTAATGGGGCTGTTGGTCCTCAGCTTGTCGACGTTGAAATACATCACAGAGGTTCTACACCTACTGGTGATATTTTTCATTACGGAAATAGAAAACTTTCATATCAAAGATCCCCGTATATCGATGACAAAGATAAAACGTTAAAACCAATATCTCATAGCATGGACACAGTAAGTCCCTCGCATACGCCTTCACATAAACATAAGAGAAGGGTAAAAAGTTACGATGATGTGTTAGACTATGATTATGACATTCTAAAAATAACAGAATTTTCACGAGGTCCTTATTATAATAATGATTTTGATCCAATAATGGAAGTTGAGGGATTAGCAACATCAAAAGTGCGCTATAACGATATGGGAAGTCTCGAAGTGTTGAATGATGATAAAATTATTGATATGTTTGATGATTTTGAATATGAAAATATTATTCCCGATGAAAGTGATGCAGATACTGAAACAACAATAAATGGCACACAAAAGTTCAGAGAGATTTGGAATTTACGGGCTACTTTTGAGGAAGAAGAAGAATGCAGTGATACTATAAGAATGGAAGATATGGCTTCGCCTGAAGAGCAATCTTCAGACCAAGGTGGCACTTCATATTCGCCAACATATCATATACAACATGCTGCGCAGTATCATAATGGGTTTGCGTGTACAGGAGCTACATCCGACAATCATAATAACTACGTTGATCCTCAACATGTTGATCCTGAAGACTCTAATTTACTTCATCCCAACTATGAAAACAGAAGGGATAACTTTAGAACTGTTGCAGGTAGAAGATATCAAAAGAGAGGTTCTACCAGCGCTGAAAATAGTTTTGACAGTGTTGAAACAGATCATACTGATGGCGATGCTACTGAATCAAGTAGACACGAGGCAACAACAAGCTTCGAGTCTACAACTGATAATACGGACAGTACGGGCGACAGTCAAACAAGTAGATTGAGACAAATGAAAGCAGACAGTGGGTATAAATCGCTCGAGACAACACAACCTCCAGCGTGTGTAAATGGTACGAAAAAGGCACAAAGTATGGATGATGAAATAATATTGTTAGGGAGCGAAATTTCGTCTCCCTCTCCAGAAAAACCAATTTCTCCAAAACATGAAATACTTGAAGCGGTTGGAACAAATGAATCGGTGCCAAGACGGGGAAGCCTTTTTGAAAAAAGAAGAGGACGCACTGCTTCCAAACGTAGGCGAGAATATAGTCGAGAAAGACACGTGGTGCGTTTAAATCAAAGTACATATGAACAAGAAACCGATTCAGCTAGGTCGGACCAACCATCAGGTGACAGTTTTGATGAACCAAATACACCAAGTACTAAAGTTTCAGTATTTTCACGATTTTTTAAATCCCATAAGTCTCGTGAAAAGGGTTTATCACGGGACTTCAGTATTGACGAGAAGACGAACAATATTTTCCAAGAATTTGTGAGATTTGACCCAAAACTAGAAGTTCACAGGGGAAGTGTTACTGGAATCGAATCACGGCGACATAGACTCCAAAGAAAATTCACAGATCCCGGCGTTTACACATTTGATGATACTCGCCGTTTTTTATCGCCGGAGATGCGGAGTACAAGTTTAGGCAGTGACAGCAGTGCTAGTTCAGCCCGGAGGTTGTCGCCGCAGGACAGTATAGAGGAGGAGGAATTTGAAGACGATATAGATGCGGCAGTGATGGATCACAAAAACAAAATGATGGAAGAACAAAGTTTAAAATCTGTTGAAGTAACGACACCTACAGTTTCAGTACATGAAATTCCAATAATCAAACTCCCTGAGGGAGAAACTGTCGATGCTTAAATGTTTTCCCTTTATATTCCAATTTTGTATATGTGAATTTACATATAGTACTAGATTACTGGTGGATTTAAAAGTCTTTCATTTATATAACTTTGTCAAGTGACATATAGAATTAATCAAACAAAATTGTATGGTAAAAGGACATGATCATTTTATTACAATGCTTTATTTTATCTTTCAATCAATCATTAAGTGTGACCCATTGCATAATTTAATCATTACTAGTATTTGCTTTCCCGTGCCTATTAAATAGTTTAAAATAGAACTAATTCCTGTGTATATATACACTGTTCTAAAACATTATCTTAATAAAGGGGAAACAATGACAGATTGGAAAACGCATTTTTTTTAAAAATGTATAATCACTAACCGCATAAGTTACAAAAGAATGAAAGTGTCTTTATGATAATTATAATTATTATTTTGCAGGCTTTTGTAAAATTCTGAATTTTGTTTACAAACGTTATACATGTACAACGGCTTACAGACGTTCACTCGGAAGCGATTTCCTCCCAAGATGTTTCGCTCCCACTTTCGCTATTTTTACACATTTAAGCGTTTAATAAATGACATGGAAAATAGACAGATTTTCAAAACAAATAATGGATGTGAAATGTCTTTGGCAAGTAAGAATTTGGGATCGGATAGGTAAACATCTTTGGAAGAAACTGATTGAAAGAGAAATGTTTACGCGAGGAAATTATTTGAAAGTGTAATCGTAACGGTAGGGGATTAAAAGTGTAATGGTTACGCGAGGAAATTATTTGAAACTGATATGTTTACGGTAGGAAATGGATTGAAAGTGTAATGTTACGGGAGGAAATAAATTGAAAGTGTAATGATTACGGGAGGAAACTCTTTGGCAGTGAACGTCTTGCATACCATTCAGCCTACAAATACCTCAAAGTCATTTTCGTGTTAGTAAATTTGCATTTGTATAATTCTAACAGCTGATTATTATACTAGGAAATTGTAGTTAGAAACAACCATTCAACCAAAGTACATTTTTTCATATACTTGATTCACTTTATAAATGATACACAAGAGAACATGAATGACATAGTTGTCGCTACCATTAGAGACTTTGATTCTGTTAATGTCATATTGATTGTCGTACTCGTTAGGTTATGTCACTGTCTTATGTTATAAAGTACATCTCTTGTTGAATATTTTAAAGCTTTATTATGTAGGTTTGATTGCTATATTTTGTGCGAATTAAGCGATAAAGTGAGTATATAAATCAGGAAGTTCTATAGGGAGCATCAACTTTAGATAATTGGAATTTACTTTTGGCTTTTGCTGTACTTTATAGAATATTCTTGAAGAATTATACCATTTCTGTTTTGTTTTATCCTTTAAACATTGGAATATTCATTAACAAATTCACGATGAAATCTTTTATATAAACACACAGGCACATTATGTGTTCGTGGAAGTTATAAGTGTTAAAACTTAGCGTATTAGTTTTTATTATAATGAGTCTGAAAGGTGTCATAAAACATGAATCTGATCTTTTGTGTATGTTACATTTTTGGTGCTTTATAACAACATGTGTCATGTGTCATTTTTATCATTTTTCTTTCCTGTCTCGGTGTCATTCAACTCTAAGTAAAGTATTAGACTTGCATATACAAAAATTGACTCTTAAAACTTTAAAAGACGACCGTTCAGAAAAGCAGACAAATCATGCCAAAACAATACCGTACGTTTTCAACTTTGTGATACTCTTTAATAACATATATATACATACATATACTGTATATCATGTATAATTATGTTCATTTTTACCGGTTTTTTTTATTTATTTTTTAATTGTAAACACGCCAAAGTGTCAGGTATACGTACAGAAACAGCAAAATGGATAATTGGTATTGATGTTTTATTCTTCTTGCATACAAATAACGGAACACTAATATACCGAATCAGAGCTTTATGCAAGAATTGCGCAAATGCACTGTTTTTACATCAGCATCTGCAGAAACCCTCGGACCTGCAGACTCGGACTTCAAATGCGCCCAAGTGCTTCTGCAAATGTAAATGTAAATTAACAAAATAGGTGCATTAACGAAGAAAAACGAAATACAAAAAGTTTATGTTTTGTGCATTAAAATTAGAAAGGCATGTCTAAAAATTACCCCTAATTTTTATATTTTATATGACTTCTTAATACAGATAGATATGTCTGTTTATAAGATATCCAGACGAGAAATTGAACTTTAAAATCCCTGGTGTATAAAATGGAGGTTTGCATTAACACTTACACAATTAGTGTAAAGAAAAAGAGTCATAATAAAATGCCTTGACAATCAGTTTTTTTACAAATATATAATTATATATAGTTCTAATATCAAAATGTGCAAATTCATTTTTTTAAATATAAATATTGACCGGGGTATTTTCTTGCTTTCTGTGTTCCAAATGAAACTGCTTTATTATTTTATATAACCTTAACAGTGCCAGTTAATCGATGCCATTACGATTTTGAAATCAAATTTATTTAATTTTAATCAGTTAGATATTTACATGGATTACCGTATGTACAAGTTTATAATACGTCATACTTTCAAATTATGACATTACATTATTTTAAAGATATTCACCAGTAATTTTTTACCATACACAGAAAAGGAGAATATTAACTATTGTTTTAAAAATCTATTTTAACGGTGTTATAGTCGGTGTTATTTTGAAATTATAACTGAGTATATTTTTTTAAACGTATCTGCATCAAATAGCTGAAATAGTACTCGAGTATCCATTACAGAACAATTGATTGTTAAATGAATTAAGAGAGTTCAAGTCAGTTTTTTTTCGATTTTTATATTCATTTATAATTTACTATCGTATACACTTAAAGTATTTATACGCTATATTTTAAAAATGGTATTAAAACTTAAAAATACAAATGTCAATTATTGTATTGTAGATACTACCCTTTTTTGACTGATATATAATACTGTTTAAGGTTACCGTTACCATCGGAGAAAAGTTGACATTTATTCCGATGTTCTGTTAAACTGATATAGAACCAAAAGTCACCATGCAGTATGGAGCCAGGTCATCCTGCATTGCCCTGCAGTCTACCCTATATCTATACTGTTGGTAGTTGAACTGTTTTCTAAATATTGATATTGAATTCAAATGAACTGTTTCAAGCAAATTAGTAACACAAAAGTCACTGGTTAAGGGTAAATAAAACACATAAAGAAACGAATGTTTTTTTTTAATTCAAGGTAGTTGTATGGCATTATTTTCATTACTTGTTATTGTAACATATCCAAATGTGAATGTTTGATGAGTTTTAAAGCAGCATGGCTCCAGATTCATGCTAATTTTCATACAAATTTAAAGAAAAGTGAACGTAGACATTAATTCAAACATTGCATTGCAAGTCCACGTTAATTACCAAAAAGTGATCAAAATGTGCAATAATACACCTTACTGCTTCGTCAAATTATGGTGTTAAAAAGCAAGATCTGTCATATACCGCGTAAAGCTATAACATGTAAATGTTTACTTGAAACTTTTTACTTTTTCTCAAAATCTAAGTACACTTTTCTCAAGTTTGTTTTTCTTGAAATATTTTGGCTGATCTGTAGGCATGCAGCTTTAAAAGAATGATTGCGCATCACAAGATTATAAACATTTACACCAAACATGATCAGATCACGTAAATGTTTTCCTTTTTTTTCACTGCCACCAAATATGCCTTTCCCCCTTTCATCGTAAGTCGCTGTAGTGTACAATTTTTTATCATTAATGAAAACAACCAAAGCTTTTGCGATCATTACATATACATTATAAAGCATCTATATGATTTATATTATATGTAATTTATTTATTTTACCATTTATGGAGAAAATACTTTTCAAAATTAAAATGCTATAATTCGGTTAACTGAATTTGACTTTTTAAGCTCAGTGTAACTGCACAAGTCTTTTAATGACACTTGATAGAACTATTGTTGTTTACTTGTATATATATATTTATATTTTTTCCCTTTTTTCTATAAATTTTAACATTCCAAATTGATATATTTAAGAAGAGACTTTATAAATATTCAAATATATGAAGAGTTGTTTTATTTTATTGTTCCAGACAACTGAACTGTCCTGAATTTTCAACAATGCACGGAAGGGCTCTTTAGGTCTACCTCCAGCACTATAGCTGGAAAGTCGCCATATGATCTTAAAAAGTAGATCTAAAACCAAACAAGCAAACGAACGAACGAACAGACAAACAAACTGAAGTGTCCGAGACCTAGATAAGAAATTAGCTAACATAAACGCTGAACATTTCAGTTAATCCTGTATTTAAAAAAAGTTTAGGGCTGATAAACTTGTTATCAAAATGAAAACTACATTTACAGCTGAGAGTTGAATGTCTCAGTGTGGCTAGTATTCAGTAGCAAACTCTATATTAGCTCATTCACACATACCAGACCTTATACTAGCACACTCAGACATACTAAGTCCTATACTAGCAAGATCAGACAGGCACATCAAGCTCTATACTAGCACACTCAGACAGGCACATCAAGCTCTATACTAGCACACTCAGACAGGCACATCAAGCTCTATACTAGCACACTCAGACAGGCACATCAAGCTCTATACTAGCAAACTCAGACAGGCACACCAAGTTCTATACTAGCAAGATCAGACAGGCACATCAAGCTCTATACTAGCACACTCAGACAGGCACATCAAGCTCTATACAAGCACGACTCAGACAGGCACATCAAGCTCTATACTAGCAAACTCAGACAGGCACATCAAGCTCTATACTCAGCTTTCTAGCAGATCAGACAGGCACATCAAGCTCTACAGCAAACTCAGCAAGCTCACTCAGACAGGCAATCAAGCCTACTAGCAGATCACAGCACATCAAGCTCTATACTAGCAAACTCAGACAGGCACATACTAGCAAACTCAGAAGGCACATCAAGCTCTATTACTAGCAACTCAGACAGGCACATCAAGCTCTATACTAGCAAACTCAGACAGGCACATCAAGCTCTATACTAGCACACTCAGACAGGCACATCAAGCTCTATACTAGCAAACTCAGACAGGCACATCAAGCTCTATATACTAGCACACTCAGACAGGCACATCAAGCTTCTCTATACATAGCATCAACTACAGACAGCACATTAGCTCTATACAGCTCAGACAGCATCTATACTAGCACACTCAGACAGGCACATCAAGCTCTATATATTAAGCACTACTCAGACAGGCACATCAAGCTCTATACTAGCACACTCAGACAGGCACATCAAGCTCTATACTAGACACTCAGACAGGCACATCAAGCTCTATACTAGCTCACTCAATAGGCACCAGGCTCTATACTGGCACACTCAGACAGGCACATCAAGCTCTATACTAGCACACTCAGACAGGCACATCAAGCTCTATACTAGCTCACTCAAATAGGCATACCAGGCTCTATACTGGCACACTCAGATAGGCATATCAAGCTCTATACTAGCACACTCAGACAGGCACATCAAGCGCTATACTTTCACACATATAGACATACCAAGCTCTATACCGGCACACTCAGATAGGGCTATCAAGCTCTATACTTGGATACTCAGATAGACATACCAAGCTTAAGACTGACAAACTTAGAGAGGCATATCAAATTCTATACAGGCATACTCAGATAGACATACCAAGCTCTATACTTGCACACTCAGATAGGCAAATGAAGCTCTATACTTTCACACTCACATAGGCATACCAAGCCCTACACAGGCACACTCAGATAAACATATCAAGCTCTATACAGGCATACTCATATAAGCATAATTAGCTCTATACTGACACACTCAGATAGACATACTTATCTCTATACTAGCACACTCAGACATACCAAGCTCTTTACTCGCACACTCAGATAAGCATACCAAGTTCTATACTGACACACTCAGATAGACATATCAAGTTCTATACTGGCACACTCAGATAGACATACCAAGTTCTATACTGACACACTCAGATAGACATATCAAGCTCTATACAGGCACACTCAGATAGGCATATCAAGCTCTATACAGGCACATACAGATAGGCATATCAAGCTCTATACAGGCACACTCAGATAGGCATATCAAGCTCCATACAGGCACACTCAGATAGGCATATCAAGCTTTATACAGACCTACTCAGTTAAGCATATCAATCTTTATACTTGCACATTCAGATATGGCATACCAAGCTCCATACTGACACACTCAGATAGGCATATCAAGCTCTATACAGGCATACTCGTATAAGCATACCAAGCTATATACTGACACACTCAGATAGACATACTTATCCCTATACTAGCACACTCAGATAGACATAACAAGCTCTATACTGGCAAACATACATTTATATAGGCATATCAAGCTTTATACAGGCATACTCATATAAGCATACTTAGCTCTATACTGATACACTCAGATAGACATATTTATCTCTATACAGGCACACTCAGATAGGCATATCAAGCTTTATACAGACCTACTCAGTTAAGCATATCAATCTTTATACTTGCACATTCAGATAGGCATACCAAGCTCCATACTGACACACTCAGATAGGCATATCAAGCTCTATACAGGCATACTCGTATAAGCATACCAAGCTATATACTGACACACTCAGATAGACATACTTATCCCTATACTAGCACACTCAGATAGACATAACAAGCTCTATACTGGCAAACATACATTTATATAGGCATATCAAGCTCTATAGTAGCACACTCAGACAGGCACATAAAGCTCTATACTGGCACACTCAAATAGGCATATCATGCTCTATACTAGCACACTCAGACAATCACATCAAACTCTATTCTTGCACACTCAGACATCAAGCACTCAGGCACATCAAGCTCTATACTGGCACTCATATAGACATGCCAAGTTCTATACCGGCACACTCAGATAGCGCTATCAAGCTCAATACTTGGATGACATAGTAAGCTTCATACTGGCAAACTCAGATAGGCATATCAAGCTCTATACTGGCACACTCAGATAGGCATATCAAGCTCCATACCGGCACACTCAGATAGGCATATCAATCTTTATACAGGCATACTCAGTTAAGCATATCAAGCTTTATACTTGCACATTCAGATAGGCATACCAAACCTATATGACACACTCAATAGCATCAAGCTCTAAACAGGGAAAACCCTATTTGCATACACTTATATACACATAGATAGACAACTTTCTCTTTCTAGCCCCACTCAAAAAGACATAAAACCTAACGGCACACATACATTTATAAAAGGGATAAAGCTTTACAAGCACACTCAGACAGGGCACATCAACTCTATACCAAAACTCAGACAGCACATTTAAACTCATACGGGAAATCAATAAACAACCAAGCTTTAACCCACACCAATAGCGTATCAACCCATACTTAAAATAGATGACATTTAAAACTTCAAAAACTGGACAACTCAGATGGGCATCAAATTTTAACGCTCTCAAAGACATACAAGCTCTATCGGGAACCCGATAGAAAATACCAAACTCTATTACTGGACACAGTAGGCAAATAAGCTCTTTTAATTTCCCCACTCACAAAGGCATCCATGCTCATACAGGCACATCAATAGGCATATAAACTTTTTCAGGCATACTAAATTAGGCAATCAAAATTATACTTAACCGGATAGGCATATCAACTCTATACGGCCATACTATATAAGCATACTTAGCTTATACTGAACATCAGATACACAATTTTGTATCTAACCCCTCAGATTTTGAATACCAAACTTATACCCCCACCCCAAAGACATCCAAACCTTAACTGGCACATCAGATGGCATTCAAGCTTTTATACAGGCACATACAAAGGCATATCAAGCTCTAACGCATACTCAGATAACATACTTATCTCTAACGACACACTAATACAATATGTATCTCTATCTACCAACTCAGATGCTACAAACTCTATACTGCACACCCGATACCATTTCCAGCCACACAAAATACAAAAATTCAACTCTATACTGGCAACCAGTGGGATCCCAAAATCTATACTGACACACTCAGATAGGCATATCAAGCTCTATACAGGCATACTCATATTAGCATACTTAGCTCTGTACTGACACACTCAGATAGACATACTTATCTCTATACTAGCACACTCAGATAGACATAACAAGCTCTTTACTGGCACACATACATTTATATAGGCATATCAAGCTCTATACTAGCACACTCAGACAGGCACATCAAGCTCTATACTGGCACACTCAAGTAGGCATATCAAGCTCTATACTAGCACACTCAGACAGGCACATCAAGCTCTATACTAGCACACTCAGACATGCACATTAAGCTATATACTGGCACTCATATAGACATACTAAGCTCTATACCGGCACACTCAGATAGCGCTATCAAGCTCTATACTTGGAAACTCAGATAGACATACTAAACTTCATACTGGCACACTCAGATAGGGCTATCAAATTCTATACAGGCATACTCAGATAGACAAATCAAGCTCTATACAGGCATACTCAGATAGACATACCAAGCTCTATACTGGCACACTCAGATAGGCAAATGAAGCTCTATACTTCCACACTCACAAAGGCATACCAAGCTCTATACAGGCACACTCAGATAGGCATATCAAGCTTTATACAGGCACACTCAGATAGGCATATCAAGCTCCATACAGGCACACTCAGATAGGCATATCAATCTTTATACAGGCATACTCAGTTAAGCATATCAAGCTTTATACTTGCACATTCAGATAGGCATACCAAACTCTATACTGACACACTCAGATAGGCATATCAAGCTCTATACAGGCATACTCATATTAGCATACTTAGCTCTATACTGACACACTCAGATAGACATACTTATCTCTATACTAGCACACTCAGATAGACATAACAAGCTCTATACTGGCACACATACATTTATATAGGCATATCAAGCTCTATACTAGCACACTCAGACAGGCACATCAAGCTCTATACTGGCACACACAGACAGGCACATCAAGCTCTATACTA